ATAAACAGGCGGCAAGGACCAGAAAATAGACGAATGAAACACTAATATATCTACCATGTTTCCTGAAACATTCTGATGAAAAATGATTTTGATGATATCATCATAGAATCATAAACGAATTTACCAATGTAACAATATCTTTTAACAGCTGTTCTTAGTATTTCTTACGTTTCTGCAGTATCATATAACAGGAGTAAGACAATATTTAAAGTAATGGTAACAGTAGATATGACAAGGCCTTCATATGCCAATGTTTGCATGGATTACAATAGGGAATAACAATAATGAGATTAAAACAAGAAGGCTTTTTAATAATTATGAATTCTTATCACCCTAATAAGGAATTTTGTAATAAACATTTACAAAGCATTGTCTGCGTTTATAAATGATGATGAAGTTATTCAGATCCTTTCTTGTTCTGCCACAATCAATGTTTTATGCCTTCACATTTTCTTACTATCCGTTTGAAATGGTTTTCACAACAATGTTGTCCATTAAGGTGTGTTCAAACATAGCGCGACAACAACATATGGCATTCGCAAGACACTATTCTGCCGTGCACAAATTTGGACATGCCAAAGAATATTTGCGCAGCAAATATGATACACGCTGCACACTTACTAAAACTATTCGCGACCGGTAGGTTGAGCGCGGAGTATGTTTGAACACACCCACCCCTCCAAGACATTTTTGTTTTGGCATGGTGAAAAAAAATTCTTAGAATCCATTTTCAAAATAAAGATATCCAAAATGCTAATGGAACGTGGCAATGTTTAATTGATTATAGCAACTGTTTATATATTCACTTGAGCCATCGAATTGCACCCTTCATCTGGATTGTGAGCAAAATGTACTCTACTTAAATATCAAAGGAGATGTATCCCACACTGCAACCATCTATGATTAAACTAATCAAGGAATTGCTTCCATGGTTATAGCTGCTTTAGGGCTCACGTTTAACTCATTAGGTAAATTTAATAAGTAGATGGTAGATAAATGGTATAACGAGTCTTAAACTAAGTACATCTTGCATAAAGCTCCATCATAATTTTCAAAATGTTAAAGTACATCTTAATTATCAGAAAGATGAAGAACATGTTAATTCAACGATCTCAGTCCTAAAGGATATATATCATCATAATTCCCTGCAAGATGTACTTCTTCTAAATCGTAATCCTAAACAAGATGAATTCCATCTCTGTATTAATAAATACGCAACTGAACTTAATCTTGTTTAAGATGTACTCCATCTTGAAAGAAGACATGCTATCATTGCCAATGACAAGATTAGTTGACATAAAGTTAGTCATCAAGTTACATAATAGCCCCAGTTTGAATAATTGATACCATGAAACTTCTTTAACATAAAAATTTAAAAAGAAGATTATAAGTTTTAATTGAATAAAACTTTTTTTCATTGTATCAAATCACCCTGTACATGGATATAATATTGATTCACCGTGTTGGGTTTTTTTGATTCATTTTACTTGCAAATAGGTCATGAGGCTATTCGACGTGCGGACAATATAACATCCAACACCAACCACCATGGATATATTATATTGAAACCACGCTTAAATTTTTATTATATTAATATTAATATAATTAGTTTTACGCGGTATACGTAATTATGTACAACTTGTTTTTTGTTGTTTTTTTCTTACGTTCTTTACAATTCATTATGCACACATTTAACGATATAGACTTTGACACTGAATACAACGAGAATATAACTCTAGTGTGGAATTGGTGTTCGTACATAAAATTAACATTTTTTTTTAATCAAAAATACAAATAATTATAAACGAGCTCAGTTTTTTTTGCAGGTTGTTTACTAACAGCATTTCAAAACGTGATTTAATTTTTGTTATGTATACATTTTACAAACACTACCTTAGCATACAAAAAATAAATCCCAATTATATTTGTTTTTATTATAATTACTAAAGTTATACTAAAATATTACGTTGAATATGGGAATGTAAAACACATACATTTTGAAAATTTAAAAAGTATACATCTAGATTAGAGCGAAAATTTTTAGTATGTCTTTTGTACGAAAGAGCGGGGGTGAATTGGTTTTAAAACGGAAAAATGTTTTCTTCTGGAAGCACGGACGTTCTATTATTTTGTAAAACGGAATAAAAAAGAACAAGAGGGATATAATGTCGACCCAAAAAAGAAAATTCTGCCGTTTTTATAACAATTTAATTCTCAGCAACATTTGAAAGCTTATCATACAAATCAAAAAAAAATCAAATATAAATAAAGCAGGGGTGTCGCATGGTGATCATCATCGCCGGATTTTTAGATAGTACACTTTTCTTAATTATTATTAAACGAATACGATTTTTTTAAGGTGACGAGATAAAAAGAAGAGCGAGAAAAAAAAATAGGGAGGGCAAAAAATAACTAAATCCATGAAAATATTACTAAACCCTATCTAATTAAAAAAATGTAAACCCATCACCTTAAATTAGTCTTAATGCGGTATTAACTAAATGTATTACTATTTTATAATCACCAAAGAAAAAAAAACAAATAGAAAAACGTAAAATTAGACTAGAATGAAAAAAAAATAAACACTTCGTTTGAAAATATATTAAAAATAACAATTTAAAATCATACACTGTAATACACAATAAAAAAATTAATAACTGAACATCATCTAAAATCCCTTTGTTTTAAAAAAAGAAAATTTGTGAAATTGAAATCATTTTATCGGAATTTAAATTTGTTATGAAATTCATTAACGCAACATCATCATTATAAAAGTGAAACACACCCCTGCGATTAAGAAACAAGACTATAAATACTAATAGTTTATCTTGCACACAGAAATAAACATAGCTAATTATACGAACTAATAATTACAAATAGACATAAATGTGCCTTTTTTAAACACACCCAACATATGCAAACATATACTTTTTTGCGTGAGGATTCTAATTCTATATCAATATTATAAAACAGAAAAAAAAATGTTCGCCTAAATTTGTTCTTCTCTTGAAAACGGCACCGAAGGAAAGAAACCGTCAAGAAGAAGAAACAAAGGAGACCGAGAAAAAATTAATAACAAAATCTTAAATGTAATCAGCTAACAGTCTTAAATTAACTTATATACTGATAACTGAAAAAAACTAAGTCAACCGCGTTGCTCAGGTTTGGACACGTTCGTAGCATGCGCGATTAAGCGTCACAAGGCGCTAAAAAATTGTAATTTCGTTAATTTTTTTTTATTTTTTTATATTTACATACACAGCCTATATGTAAGAATACATCATTGAATAAGAATTATGAGTTCAAAGATAAATGACAAAGGCTCGGTAATATTTATTATAAGTTTTAATTTAGTAATAAGTTTTGAAACCTTTTTGCGCTTACGCAGAAATGTTCTGACCTTAGAAAAAAATATTGCGCAAGAGCAAACAAATTCCTGATAGCTTATTGTTCATAAAACAGACCTATTGATTATTATGACGCTGTGCAACTTTAATTTACCCCCGACCCCGCTTTTTTCATAAAACGACAAACTCCTTATTAATATTATTATTATTTAAATAAGCATTAATCTTTTTTTAATTCTTTACAATAATTTTCTTTTATATTTATTAAGAAATTAAGACAAGACACAATTAGAATACGAACTATAATTAATAATCTAAATTTTATTAAAACTTTTAATAATGTGTATCTCTCAACAATTAGTCTCAACTCTATCCAAACTTTATCTCTATGCTCTTTCTATGAAAGCGATCGAATCTTGATAAAATCTGGATAAAGTTAATTAAGCCTTCAGTCAAATCAAAGAAAAAGCACGGCTCCTAAATGAAAAAAGTTCAAACATTTTTTTGTACTTGCCCTTTCTTTCCTTCAATCAAATTTGACACTGAAATTAATAATATCTTGTATGCCGTTACAGTAAGCATGCTTAAAAGTTTTGATTTTTAAACTTACCAAGCTACCATTATTACCTGTTAAGGTTTGGGTTGGTAAACCCAACTCAACTCCTTAACTGGGAATAAACCTTTTTCAATCAACAAGCCGTGGCAAAAAAACAACTAAAATCAAAAATAGTAAATATATATTTTACTATTGTTAAAATGTATACCAAGCAATTTTTTTGTAGAGCAAAACACTGAAAATTTTCTGAACGTCAATTTTATTTTTTTAAATGCCAATTAAAATGCAGCCGCAAACGTTATAAAAAAAAGTCTCCAAAAATTAAAAAACACATAGAGCCCCATAAATTATTATAAATAGGAATAATATAATTAATAATTGAAAAATTCTATCAAAAATTATTCAGTTCAAGCTGTAAGTATTTTTTTAATTACTCGATACTACTTACTCAATGATAAACCTATACTTTATTTTATATTCCTTTTATAAACTAGGTACTAGGATTTAGATATATTTAATAATAATATATATTTATGTAATATATATTTTAAGTTTTGCCCCACACATTATATTTTTTTTTTGCTAAATTGGTCGTAACATTGAATGTGTATATACTTAAGATTACAATCATATAATTTTTTTTCGCGTTTTTTATATTTATAAATAGTATTGTTATCCAAAGTATTTTGAAGCTGTTTTTTTTTCAGAAATCCGCATACCTGAGCAACTTAGTGACCCAATGCGCTAAGTTATTAAAAAACCCAACAACAATATACACTAGACCTACACTCCCCCTATACAGCTTATACATATATTGGTAATTATTATTTTGTCAAAAATAACTTTTAACATTAGTCTGTACAAAGATACTGACGCACCGCTCGCAATCTTGGAAGGGACAGTTTATGACACTGCGGTATTGAAAAACAAAAAAAAAACATTATTTGATGCTTTGGGCGTTCGTGTTTTATGAATCGAGAACAACAAATTCAATATATTAACTCCCAAGCACCATGTAACAATAAATAAATATAAATTTTTTGAGAGCAGTAAATACAGTAGTAGTAGTAGGTAGTATTTAAATAATCACAAAAATCCACAGTCAAAAAGCTATCATTTTTTTGCTCATTTTTTATTTTTGTTGCACACGGACTTGTTTTGACTCCTTCTTGTTTTGGTTTCTACTTTTTCTTTTTTTTGCGTCAACCTAAATGTGTAGCAGCAGGCGAGACGTGCGCTCAAGGGCCTATCACAGACGCACGCTCTCAGGCTGGCCACTCTAGAAAAAAATCTCCTCTTCCTCTTCATACTTTCATTGTACAGCACTAATAAACATATCAAATATTTAACAGTGTTCTTTTTCGAGCTAGGAACATATGACTCGCGCAAAAAATTAAGTGAAAATCAAAAAATGTACACGTACACCTAAATGCCATTGTGGAGGCAGTATTGTCTAGTCTCTTATCCAATATACACCGTTTGTATATTTTCATATATATTTATACTTTTCTCATTATTTTCTTTCTTTTTTTTTTTTTCGCCACGATACGATCAGAGAATATCAAATCGTCGCGGTCAGTCTCGTTTTGGACTGCGCGCGCGAACAAAGATTAATAATTAAAAAAAAAAACTTACACGGCCTCGTTAAAAAAAAACTCGTTTCACGCTCGCGTTCTCTCTGCACTAATAGTCCCACAAACACTATAACCAAACCTCGTCCGTCTGCTACTTCGGAGAACGCGGGGGTACAAAATCGCGTAACTGCGACGTTCTACCTTCCGGCCTTCGTCGTTGAGAACGATCGTAACTATTTCTTGAACCGCTCCTGGGTGGACCCTGTCGCTGCTGACCACCACCTCCATTATCTTTTTGTTGACCACCATCTATTAAAAGATTAAAATAATGTTTTGTTAAAAATGTATTGCAAAAAATAATTATTTCTAACTAACACTATATAAACAAATCCAGAATTATATGTATTAGACTTTTCAGTTAAGGGCTTAATAACATACATCTTGATAGAACGAAACGATTGAGTTTTAAAAATTCATAAGAAAGTTTGCAGTAATGTCAAAGTTATACTGTTTTGTAGCTGACTGGGTGAGCAACTACTAAGTGTTGGGGCGTTACTAGTCACGGCCTCTGTCATCTGTTTGACTATGAACACTTATTATAAAGCACTTCTCGAAATAGTTCTGACTATAATCAAGAATGGCATCATAAGAAGAGCATTCAGAATTGCGCCAAATATCGGTGCAAATGTATTCAATGAAGGAATGATAGGTAAATTGCAAATAGTGCAATATTGAATTTAATTGAAATAAAGAGAAGCGCATATAGTTGGCCTGTGTCTGTGGACGCATCAAAAGAAGGGAAAATGACGTTGACATAACAAAAAAACATATACAGCGTGTCCCGTATCTTCCGCATCAGAGCATTATACGGTTGTAGGATACATTATTCTGAAGCGATCTTTCTAATAAAATTTTTTCGAAATGTTTGTAATAACCGCACGGGAACTGTTTAAAGGAACTGTTTTTCGTCCAATCAGCAGATCGCAAATCAGACTCAGGTAATCGGTGCCACCCTCGGCCGGTCCGGTACGCCGATGATAACTCGTTTCCCACGTGTACTCACCAATAAATTCGTCATGGAAAGAGAAATAAACTTTTTCGATGAATCAAAGTTGTCCGTTATTGGTCGTCGTTAAACAGTTCCCGTGCGGTTATTATAAACATTTCGAAAAAATTTTATTAGAAAGATCGCTTCAGAATAATGTATTCTACAACCGTATAATGCTCTGATGCGGAAGATACGGGACACGCTGTATAATGGATTAATATGCAAGGAAGACGATTTCATGCAAGATTAAAATAAACTAGTTATGTCCAGTCTAATGTGTACTCAAAACTAAAAACATGTTTTATTAAAAACAGTGTTTTCACAATTGATACTACAAATATCTCCGCAACTTTTGCACAGTTATGATAGCTTCGAATACTCGATAACTAAAAAGTAACTACTGAAAAATTTTGAGGTGAAAAATCGCCTGTTTTATTTCAATGATTGCCATGACCCAAAAAAATAAATCGTTAATTTCCGTCGCAATAAATACAAGTTTTATCCAGCTACTATAAAAAACAAATATATTTTGTCTTTGGATAAAAACTCAGAGGCATGTCCAGTAATCCTAGTAACTTCTTTTATTGTTTGAAATTTTTTAACAAAATTTTCACAAAATCAATAAAATGTCATATTTTAAAATGCATTATCACAGTTTATTTTTTATTCGGAAACTATTTTAATGTTTTTCTCTACTACAATTATAATTAATGTTGATGTATTGTACATACATTCATGGATTCAGAAAAAAAATCTCTATCCAATAACGTGAAGAAAAACTTACCGAGCAATTTGAAAATCAAAAGTTGATAATCGCTTTAAATTGAAGATGGCGTTGGAAAAAGTTTATTTGTAGCATGAATCATAGTATTCAGCAAATCTTTTCATTTGATACCTCGCTCATGAAAATCGGAATGTAAATGACAGAATTACAGCTTGCGGCATTGTTGTGTGACAACCTGTATATACAGGTGTCTTTTCTCTGCTAAACTTACATTCAAAATGGATGTATTGTACATCAATGGATTCAGAAGAACAATTTCTATCCAATGACGTGAAGAAAAATATATGCAGCAATTTGAAAAACAGAAGTTAATAATCGCTTAAAATTGATTATGACGTTGGAAAAAATTATTTGTAGCATGAATCATAGTATTTATAAAACCATTTCATTTGATACCTAGACCATGAAAATCGGAATGTAAATAACAGAGTTACAGCTTGGGGCGTTTTTTGTGTGACACCCTGTATATGAATTTTATTAAAGGGAAAACATTTTCGAACACGTCCCAAACGAATTATAAAACACAATATTGATAAGAATTTTACATACATATTTATTTAAGAAAACGTATCAAAATTACTTTAAAATTATTTAAAAGAGATAAATTAACTTTATCTACGACTGCTTGGATAAGTCATCATTACCGCACTCATTTGAGGTGATTTGAGTTACGTAATGAAGTTCATTATCGCACTGGTTTCATTACATAACGCATTTTTAGCCTAATCAGAACAGACTTAATTTATTGAAACGAGCAACAATACAAAAGAAAAAGTGCTATCTATTTACAGAGAAACAATACTATTTATTATAAACATTAATTGTTATGTTTTTACATTTCAAAACACTTATTCCAGATAAGTGAACATGTTGTTGAAACTGACAATTCAAAATTGTCAACAATCATTTTTGTCATCATCAAATAATTTTATAAATGTCAAATAGACTTTTCTAAAGAAATTGATTTTTTAGTAATTTTTAGCAGTCGTAGATAAAATGCTGTATATCACACGTGGGCTAGAGCATAATTACAGTACTCGTGTGATTACACGACTCGGTCTACGACCTCGTCGTGCAATTCTCCACACTCGTACTGTAATTATGTTTCTAGCCCACTTGTAATATAAATAACTATTATAAAATTGTATGAAACGGTTGAAAGGCAAGTTACAAAACCATCTGGACGTGTTCAAAAATGTTTTTGATCGTCAATTATATCTTCTGACGGCGGTCCTGAGGATGATTGTATAGTCGAAACATGTTAAGCTTATTTTAAAAATAAACCAATTAAAAGTACCTACATTTTTTCAGTTTAATAAAATTTATAATAAATGTAATGTTAAATTCAAAACAGTTGTTAGCTACTGTAAAAGTCACTTGAAAGCCGCTTCAAAATTTTGCAACATCATATGCTTTGTTTATGATGAAAATAAATCGTAAATGTTCCCAAATTTTGGTGTTTGGAGGAAGAAAGTATCATTCATGTCAATCAGATGTGAATGCGAATATCCACAAGCAGATCTATTAAGTAAGTTTAAGGAAGGTTTCTTCCACAATCGTTCGACAAAAAAAAGTAAAAAGTTTCTTCTAAAAACAGAACATTTGTGAATTTGAATTACTTCTTTAACAAGGTTTTCACAACCTTTAATTCTTTGAGTGTGAATCAAAAAATATAATACTTTTTCCAAACAATAACATAACTATAATTACATATACAGTGGGTGCACAGAGCACTCAACTTCATTCCGCCCCAAATTATTGATATAAATGGGTATAGATTGGAAAAAATATGTTCACTAACGGTGGAAACTATAGTTTCTTCTTAACCATTTAGCAGTTGGATTTTGGTGAGAAAACAATTACAAAAATTGTCCCTTTTCTTAGTATTTTTAGTATCGTTCGCAAACTTAGTAAATATTTAGCACAAAAAGTTTTTAGATTTATTACACAACTTTCGCGTATATGTAAAAATAAATATGAAATTTGTTAAATAATTTTTTAGTAAAGTACATTTTGGAACATTCAATCATCACAATCTGGACAATAACATCTTGTTTCTTTTAGATTCTTTTTGACAACAAACTGTTAATTTACACCGTAATGGAATGTAATTATTAGCAGTGATTCTAAATTTTCTTGTATTCGATTCTAAGTATCGAGTCGGAATCATACGATTTCGATTCGATTATGATCTCGATTCTGATTTGATACCGATGCCGACCTGAATTCAAAGCGTATCGATTCTTGGACTTGTGTTCAACTTTAAATCATCGGAATCGATTCTCAAAAATGGAATCGTTTCTTAAGAATCAGGGCTACAAAGTGTTATTTTTTTAGTTTCAATTAACAAGTAGACTTTAGTTTCAATGAAGAAAATATATAAATATTCTATGTTTCTTCCTACACCTTTTGATGCCTAATAATAATTGATGTGACCATAGAGTTATTATAATTATATTATCATTAATTTGTATCAATCTCTATTATGGGAGTACTGTTTTCTTCAATTTCACAGTTCCAAATGTGTTTGTTTTTTGATGTAAGAGTATTTAAGAATTTCCGCGAGACATAAAAATTATCTCTGATAAGATACTGTCCTAAATTCAAAATAGGTTCATAAAAGACATTTACAATTTGTAATTTATTGCCTGATATTTATACATGTCAAGTATTGTTCCTGTCTAGTATAAATTATAAGTGACCAAATATAGCCAGATATATATTCACAACATAAAGATTTTATGACAAATCTGGCTCTTTCTTGAGAAAAGTATGGAATCCAGCATAACCCAAACTTGTAAAGTATCAGACATTCAACTATTGCTATATTTCTTCAAAGAATAAACAGTGAAGAAAATGATTCTGTTAAATATTCAATAGTAGCCCATAAATGTTTGGATTAGGTTTTAGGTAAGTAATGTTTTGAAATAAATAAAATCTATAATTTCCATTATACAAAAATACTCAAAATGTTTAAAATTATCAAATTGTAAATTTACCCTAGCGGTATAAATTGTTTTAACCGAAAACTCATCACCAAAAACTACCTTTCATCGCTTTCAATCACAATTCTCTCTCATACCTTTCAAATGTGATTAAAACATCTTAAGCAACAAATATAACAAAGTATTATCAAAGTATTACGTTACAAATAAGTATATATAACCTTTATTTTATGTATTTACATAAAAATTCTGAATAGAAATTACATGAGTGGCAAAATTCACTACAATATGCTGTACTGTTTTCCTCATACTGTGTAACTTTACCAAACAAACTGTTAGAAAGAACTAGAAACTATATGTGCTAACAAGACAATCACAGTAGTAAACACTATAATTATGTTCTAATTATTCTTACCATACCGCGCGTTGGCATTGACTCAAACAAATCTATAAAATTCTTGGGCGGAACGATCAGTAAAAGTTTTTGAATAAAAAAATTTTATATCTATCTTATGAGTAACGTTAATAAGAGTATTATGTCATTTATTGTGATTTTGCACGCAGAACTTTAAGTATGTGTATCTTTTTCAAATAATGATTTGGTTACAGGGACGCTCTAATTTGCGTCTTCACGGCCCTTTTTACTTAAATAACTAAAAATCGATTTTACTAAACTTGTGTCATGCATACCTTTAGATTCCTTTCCGTCGCGATGCTGTTGATCGCCTTGGACCCTGTTTATGGCGTTTGTGGCGTTGCTACTGTTTGAGCTTGTGGCTTTATTGTTATTCTGTGGCACACTTTGTTCACTGAGTAGTTTATCCTTGGCCTGTCTCTCCTTTTGTTCCTTGTGATGTTGAGCTACTTGAGCATAACTCATTCTAGGTGGATTTGTGTTGTCCTAAAAATTAAAATTGAATTAGGTTAGTTTCAACACAACGCATTTTACATTTTAAACCATATTTTATATTCAATATATTTAATTGCATTTTGAGTTACACACATACCAGTGGGGGTGGAGTGACAGGGGGTTGTTGTTTATGAGGTTCAGAACGTGATTCTTGTCTCGTAAATGGAACATTTGTGGTATGATTTCTCATGACAGTAGTCGCGCCAGCTTGAGTCGTACGCACTGGGGCCTCACAGGACATTTCTGTAGTCATAGTCGCGGCATTTGTTGTGGTCGGGCAAGGAGTTTCCAGGTCGCCGTTCAAGAGGACGTCGTCGGTTTTAGTCGACTTGTCGGCCATAGTGCATTTAGTTGCAATCGTCGTCGGAATCGGTCTAAAATAAACATTTAACATAAAAACCGGTTTAAAACAAAGCTAAATTATTACTTCTCTGGTGAGCAAGGCGGTGTAAGGGTAGCTGTGCAAAGAGGAATATCTCCATTAGTGGCGGCAGCTTCCTTTACTTCGATTGTGGCTGAGAAATGCTGTCTAGTAGTTGTAGTTTGGCTGCCTTGGCATAAAGTAGAGTGCTGAGGGGACATAGCGCGGGGTGACGTCGGATTGCTGCCATTATCTTTACTCTTAGTTCTAGCGGTACCCTTCACAACGTCTGCAAGTCTATTCTCTCCCCAATGACCCTGAGGAATTGGCATTTCGACAGGTGGGGGATGATGGGGAGCTACTTCCTGATTCGACACATTACACTGGACTTGTTTAACATTTGTTGTAGTACCTCCTTCAAAACCTAGAACAAAACAAAAATTAATATAAATTTCTTTTACTTTAAATTTTGATATTACCTGGCAATGGAGGAAATGCGGAATCTTCCAAATCAAAGTGACCTCTACTATTAGCGACCACCTCTTTTTGAGTCTGTGTATTAGCTGCAACCATCTCTTCATCTTTTCTCTTGCGCCTGTGTCTTGGCGGCAGTGGCTCTTTTGGTATCGAGGGAGCTGTAGATCTATATGGAACTTCTTCCTGTTGGTGTATACCAACTGGACATGGTGCAACTAAAATCATTATTTTTATAAAGAAATTAAAAAATAAGTTTAAACTAACCTGTGTTACAAGTGTGAGTATCCTCATGTACATGACTCGATCTGGGTGTTTCACCAACCAGAGGCACTGGTTTTGAGGTGATGACTGTAGGGGCACCAACCTTGGCAGTAACCTGAATGGCTGGCGGCTGTGCGACACCACTTCCACCGCCGCCTCCTTGCTGATTCGATAATCTAGTGCCGCCGCTTACCTGATTGCTGGCCTGAGATACCCCTGGTGTGGTCAGATCTCCACTTTGCGATGACGATGACGGTTTCGATTGCTTACGCTGTCTGGTATTCGTCCGGTTATACTGTGGTTTAAATGTCGTTTGAGGGGCGAGGCCATTTACTTGAAAAACACTACTTATATCATAATAAGGACCTCCTGTATGCCATGCTTGCACTACCGAAGTGTAGAATGGTTGTTGTTGGTACGGCTAATAAAAAAAAATTAGTAAAAACGGCTTCATTGAAAATAAAAAAAAAATGTAGCTTACATAAATTTGTACTTGATTGGAGTACGTCACTGGTTGTCCAGAAGTGTTATTGGGATAGATAAATCTTTGTTGGCCTGGAGGAAAAGCGGCTGGATCGAAAACGGTCGATGATGGAGTGAGTCTGAAGCCATTCTTGAGGGGAGCAACGGGCGGCATTGGAAGTCGATTCATCGGTTTTGCCTTGATCCGAGCCATGATCGGCTTCCCTTGGAATTCGCGCACCTCCTCCCTGAGGTATTTGTACGCCCGTTGTGCATCTTCGTCCGACTCAAACGTCACATACCACGAATTGTTATGAGCGAACTCACAAGATATTAAGCGAGGACAATTTTCACCAGAAAATAATTCCTATAAATTAATAAACATCCTCATTTGATAAATAAAACACCACACTTCTTCAGCGAAATTTAGAAACCAAAAATACGATAACGAAGTTGTTGCTGAGGAAACTATATACTAACAAGAACCTTGAGAAAAATTATAAATAAATAAGTCGGTGTAATAATTTGTATGTAATATTGTTCAAACAATATTAACATTTAACCTGTCATCATTAGTACCATGTAATTAATCTTTTAAGATTAACTGCTTGACTGTAATTATGATTGATTGTTTATTAGCGAGGCATGACCCAAAACCGGTTGTGAACACATTTTTTGAATGTGAATTTAATTTTATTTTTTTTTTATTCTTACCTATATAATATAAAATAGAATATCTGTAAGTGTTTATATACATATAAAATATTATTTTTATCACAATTTTAACAAAAAAGAAAAATATTGATAAAATTTAAAAAGCAGTATAGCCAGGAAACAAAATCTAAAACCAGCAAAAAAAAAAAAAACTGGAAAGACATTAATGCTATTGAACATCGTGGAAGATAAGGTAATTTTAGATGAGGAGTATGAGGATGTATATGCAGCAGACTGACACAAATCATTCGTTGAACTAGAGAAAATAAGAGAGCTTGAGAATAAAACGGCTACTTTCGTTCAAATTCTTAGAGATTACTCAAATAGGAAATAATATTTTATTGGTTCAATGGTTCATGTGAAGGTGGAACAATCAATATTTAATTTCAATAATGTAATAAAGTGAACATTAGGGAAAAGTTTTTAAAAGTTCGACGAATTGATTTATGAATTTAAAGATATTCAAGAATCTACCCAATCCCTTATTCCAAAATTACAAACATGAAGAACATCAAGAAGAGTCTAATTTATTTTCCTCAAAAAAGATAAAGTAAATTTACATTTACTTATCAGTAATAAAATTCCCACTTTTAACTATTGCCAACTATATTTTGTATCTAGCAATAGCCTGTAACAGTAAATGGCTTTCCTTCTGCTCAGATTAAATCTGATATTGGTAAACCAAATTTTTGGTAAACTAAAATAATAGAAGTAGGAAAACTTTACTTATAGACATATTTTTAAACATGATCATCTCCTGAAATCGTCTAATGGTGGCCTCAACAGTTATTTTTTATATTTTAGAAGATGTCTTAAGACATTAATAAAAAATTTTAATAACAAAAATGTTTATAAACTATAATTAGGTCCATTTATTGGTTCCAGTAAGAGTTAAAATATAGTTCTTCAGCAAAAACTTTCGTTTTATTATTTTTAATCAATTCTCCTTTGGTTAAAAAGAAATTGCTACAGAATATAAATAAAACCCCATAAACTGCTGGTTAAGTTGTAAATCAGTTGCAATTTTATAGTCTTCAAATTTTTGTTACCTTCACTTCTTCAATAGGTGTATTGTCTGGTATTTCGCGTAAAATAACTATACACCGTTTATGATTTGGACGCACTTTAACGCCCTCCTCGTCAACTTGTACATTGGGCGATTCACGCAATACTTCTGTGATGAGTTTAATGTCTTTGGTAAGCTTCTTAACCTGATTGAAATTAGCCACCGTCCAAATGGGCACATACTGGTCGTTGTCCATTTGTGATAGCAGGTATGTGTCGTTGGCCAAATTTTCCCTGAAATGAAAATAATCAATAAAATTAATAAATTGATACCGACATCTTTAAAAATTATATAAAATATATTGCGAAAGCATTCTTGCGATTCTTGCCCTGTTTTATGTTCTTTTTGTGTATTTTCCAATATATTCTATTAAGTCAACTTTTCTTTTTGTATGAATTCATACAGATTTTGCTAAGTCACTCAATCAGTAAAGGTGTGAGTCGCTATAATCACACTGCCACGTTAACAAAAAAATAATCAATTTTATCACGTATATGCCACAAAAGGTTTGAAAGGTTAACTAACATAATTTTACATTCGTATGGCGATTAACATTAAAATCGCAACCCGCGTATAGATACGTGGCATTTTGTATTAGAAATTTAAATGTACATTAAAATATTTTTAATTTTAAAACTTTCTATTAGTGAATGTAATTTATCATTACCAAGTAAACTAAATTCTGTATTAAAAAACTGAAAATTAATTGCGCAAGATTATTAACTTTGATTATGAATCATGATCTGTAACATCGTCACGTCGATCAATGACGGTAAACTAATCTATGCAATAAACATGCAATGCTTAATACATTAATTTGTAATCTTGACTTTTATAAAACCATAAATAATTATGAGTTTTCTTCTCTGCTAGCAGTACTTATAATTATTGCGGAGTATCAGGAATATTTTCTCGCATGATTCCTTGATAGTTATATTCTAGAAAGTCAAAACTGTACAGGAGAGACAGAGGTGAGGAATCACAAACATTAGGTCACAAAAATATACATTAAGCTGATAATAACTTTATAAATTGTCGAAATGCAAAAGTTATAAAAGTGAAACAAACAGTTCGTCGATTGTTAACATTTTATAGGGTTAAAAGATTGTTGGCAATTGTTAATGAATTTATGAAACATCTCTAGGTGCCAATTTATCCTGATGTCGTCTTACTAGACGTGTAAGTTTACTGCCAAATCGGATATGCGTTCGAAATGAATGAATCCATAAGAAGACATTGTGTCTTGAAATGCAGTGAAAATAAGTTTTTGTGTTAATTCGCCTTCACTCTTCGTTAGTTTCTATACAATACTCCTGTAGACATAGGAATTCGTATAAACCCTTAAGTTTGGCTATCTATATTTTTATCAGCTTTTTTTCTTCCTGGTTTTTTAATGACATATCGTATATGTTCGAATTGAATCAGAACCCTTCTGTGAAGTACTTTCGATTAGATTAGATACAGAGAGGCGTCGCAGTTACCCACATTCTTTCAAGATAATGTAAGGGAATGTTCATTGAAGTACGATTTACGTCGTGAGGAAGCAACTAAAAAAGGAATGCCATGTAAACATATCCAACAATGATATTGACAGCCTGTTCTATTCCAAGTACTTTACGCGCTTTTGTACTAAATGAGTTCAGTTAACAAACATTCAATACTCATTCAAAGTATACTGTTTATACAATGTTTTAGACATTCCTAAAAATGATGTCATCAGGGAAGATAACATTCGAACGATTGATCTCAACGTACAATATTCTTCAAAAACTGATAAACCGAAAGTAAATAATAAGTAATAATATCGATAACAATTATGATAAATGCTAATCATAAGACTCTGAACATGATTATAGCCTACATCTGATTTTAAATGTCTTAAAAATTATAGAGAAGTGTGGATTATATTCGAGGAAACACAGTAGTAAATTAGTAAATTTGCATGTAACAGTCTTAATATCTTCATCAATGTTAGACCAGATTTATTCATTGGAATATCTTCCTACTGAAGATACAAACTCGTTTTAATAGAATATTATTCTTTAGGAATATGAACTTAAAATTTCATTTGAAGAATTCATTAATACTAATAACAATTTATCCATTTGCCCAGAACCTGTCCACATCACTTTTGAAGATAGTAGTAGGGATAACATTTGTTTTTTTTTAATTTTCTAGGTTAGCATCTGGTTGCTAACCAGCTGTTCTGCTAGTGGTTCTTGCATATTCTCTGCATTGCTTGCTATTGTATATTCTCCCACATTGGTTTCCTTTCTCTTTTTAAAGAAAATGTGAAACCAACTTTACTTTTCATGCAGTCAGATAATTTTTTTGAAGCATCAGATATCTTGTTTTAAACTCCATCATCATCCAATCGATCTCTTTTTTTTATGAGTATATTTTTCCGATTTTCATTTAGTACATTTTTGTACTTAAAGTGAAATAGAGATTTATACTATTTATGATATAAATACGGAGGAGTCCTAGACATATTTAGCCAAGAAACTTAATTTAGGGAATGTAAAATATAGATACATCAAAATATGATACATGTTTAAAAAGCTTAATCAAGCTTTCGAGCTTTAGGAACAGTACTAATCATTTAACCATCAATATTTGTATTGCAAATAACAGAAATATTAACAAGTGCCTACTAATCTACTAGTTAATACTTCGAAAAGATTGATAACAACTTGTTTCCTAAGTCTTTATGTTATTACGATGACATAAAATAACTGTATATATTAAAAGCAAAACCCTTCGATAGGAAGATAATTTCCAATCTTTTATTTTTCAACTTCATTGATTTTTTTCACAAAAAAAATCCACATAAAGCATAGTACATTGATTGCATTACAGATAGGATTATTTACTGCAATCCATTAGAGTCAACGCCATATCGACGCTGTCTTTCAAGCATCAAATTCAAGTTAATCCAAAGGATTTTTTTTCCTTTTTAAGAATGTTGAGTTGCAAAATTTTCTACGTGCCGAAGTTATTCATCAAAATCAATGATGAACAAAATGTTTCTCTACTTTCAGTAAGTAAATAAAAACTTATTAAAAATCTCTCTCTTCATTGTGTGATTTCGGACGACGTGATTTGTTCATAGAGGTAGTGTGGTGATCCTTCCAACATCTGTGCCAGATCCTTTACATGGTAAACATATTTCACCAGAGATCTGCCACTTGACCTTTTGCCATCAACCTTCCCCTGTACCAACCCTTTAGTATTGCATGACCAAAGAATTTAAGTATACGACGATTAATTCTTCGATAATTCTTCTAGAATGGATGCATTAGTGCGATACACAGTCCTAGGTATTAACAACATTGTTCGGTAACATATCATTTCAAAAGCATTAATCCTCCTTCTGCATGTAGCAGTTATGGTCGAGCATTCTAAGTCATATATTGTAACAAGAACCGTTAAAGAATTCAAAAGTCTTGTTCTAGTTTTTTTCGTATACAGTGGTCTTTCCAGATTTTAACCAGTTTCCCCCCAATGCTACTAAACCTTCCAAAATAATGATCTATAAATATTTGTAAGGAGTTCTTAATGCCAAAAATTGTTAAAACCACTTTGAAAAGCATTGTGTACCACTGAATGCCAAGAATAACTTGCTTGAATGCTTTTTGAGTTTAAGTTGGTAATATTGACATTGGACAACGAGAACGTAATCTAAAACCAAACCATCACTTCAATTCTGCTCAGAACGCTGTGATTAAAAATTGGTAAAATTGCAGAGACAGCTTTGGTTTTTCTATATCAGACACTGAGAAGCCGTGAGTGCAGAAGTTGTTTTGTAATGTGAGCAGACCAAAGCAGTACACAATGTGGAAATAGTTTTAATAAAACGCACCACGGTTCATAAAAAGCTTACTTATTTACTCTTTTAAACACAATAAGTAACTTTAGATAGAAATAACAGAAAATAAAACATAATATAATATAATAGGGGTGCGATGCGCTTCGAACATTTCACCTCGCTGGTTCGAGTGGTACTGCTTATCGGTTGTCGCTGCGCCGATGTGTTCCACGCAACCAGGGATTCCCCTGGCTTCGTTTAATTCATTCTAAATTTTCCACATACAAGTAGTCACTTGGAGAAAAAGTATACTTTCATAGCCAATGATATGGAGAGAACCAAAAAATCATGTCGATGATTATCGGCGCGACGAGTCAGTATTAATGCAAAAAAAACTAGCAATAGATTTAGTAAAAAGTTTACTAAACAATTGTGCAACACATTATGGCCTAAGACAGATAATCATCCACGTTCGACATAAAGAACTACCACAAAATTTAATCACCAATAATATAAGTAGCAGGGCAACACAATTGAATAACCTCAAATAGTACAGAAAAACAAAACATTAATATTATAAACTATAAATATTGTGTATAACATATAAAAATGTTGAGCCAATAAAAACTGATATTAAATTAAAAAAAAAAAAAAAAACCTAAATATAATTAATTTGAAATTTGCCAAAATAACGTCTATCTTTATTTATGTCGTGAACACTACAACACTTGTTTCATGTTCTTGCAACAGATACCAAAGTGTTAATGGTGATGTTTTCATTATGAACATCTTATTTTTCACGTTAGCAGCCATTTTGTACACTGTTAAAGCACGTGCGCAGTGTGCTCGTCGCTCTGCTCCTAAAACGCTTTGCTTTTCGCTCCACTATGTACGTAGTACGTACCCTCCAGCGATAAGAGCAACAAGCAAGGAGAGCTGTTACAGTAAGACATGGCAAAAATCGAGAGACGGTACCAAGGTTTTTGGGATGATGCCTTGATGAGCGACTATTGTTGGACTCTAATAAGTGAAATGAATCCTACAAATACAAATGACTCAGTTCAACCTCTGTTCATTTTTGATTTATCACATTTAAATAAATAAAATAGTCTTTAATTTTCAACCAATCTTAAATAACGGATTGTGGATTCAATTTTAGCGTCCCTAATTATCTTAGAATTGTATTATCAATAATGGTATCAAGACCCTTAATTCTTTCAGGACCGAACTAGATTTGGTAACCATACCTCGGGGACCGGTACCGACGGCGATCGTGTTCGTACAATTCTGGTCCTGAGGTACTCACTCAATCCGTATATAGTATATTATAATCTGAAAATAGACTTTTTACTAACAAAATCTATTAAAACAAAAATATTCCGCAGGGATATGTTTACCTCTCAGAAAGGTTTCCTGTTAAGTAAGAACACAAGAACATTTAAAAGTCATAACAGGTCTACAACAGGGAGATGGGCTGTCATGTCTGCTTTTTGACCTTGCCCTGGAATAAAAGCTTAGCCCTTAAAGATAAAATTTACAAAGACTAAGTATATGGTGGCAAAGACTGAGGATAATAAGATAGAGATGATTAGCAGTTTCGAATACTTGGGATCCTTGACGAATAATATAAAATTTGGTCAGCGAGGAAAAAAAGAAGAAGATAATCCAAGCCAAAAAATGCTTCTATGGGCTTAAAAACAAGTTCAGATCTAAGCTAAGAAAGACCAAATTAGTGCTATACAAGACCTTAATACGACCAGTACTAGCTGTGGGTTGGAAACATGGACCCTAGTACAGAAAGACCAACACACTAGGAGATTCGAGGCTTGAGGATCTGTTAATAACAGCAGTGTCTGGCGTCGGCGTTACACCTTCGTGTTGTATCTTTTATATTGCTAGATATACTTAAATTTATCAAAGCGTAAAGGTTAAGATGGATTGGCCATGTAGTTAGAATGGGCATAAAAAGTACCACATGGGTTATCTTTGATCGCCGTGGGCTTGTGGGTAGATGATCGATTGGGAGATCGAGGAGACGATTTGTGAACGACCTAAGAAGGCTAAAGATCAGGGGTTGGGGACCAGAAGCGGGGGATGGACAAGTTTAGAAAGACCTGTTAAGGCAGGTCAAGGTTCATAACGTGCAGTAGAGCTAAGCATAATGATGTAGATAAGCTTATATTGGATCATCTCACAGAAAATGTCAAAAAAATGTTTGTGATAAACAGCTCAAAAACTTCTAAGGGATCTCCTTGCGATGAATTGATATTACATCCTTAAGAAACTGTGTATGGTATACAGGGTGACCGGAAACTCAACGTCAAGCGGGCACTGGGTGAGAGGACAACCCATACCTGTTTAGGTAAAAATGAGAAAAAAATTTCATGTCTCTTAGTTAAGTGGTAATAGACATATTTTTGAAAATGTTAAAAAACGTTCCCGTAAATCATATCTTTAGGTACTAGAGTCAGAAATGTTTGCAATTTAATAGTGATTTTTTAAATAATGTGTTCCTTATGAACCATGCTACCATAGAAGTCCCAAATCAAACAATAAAAGTCGTTAGTTTTGCAAAAAAAAAATTAATTTCATTGAGTTAAGGTTGAAAAAATTTATGTCTATTAAGTTTGACACACGATTTCTAAAAAAAGAAGTAGTACAACACCCTTGGTTATTTTAAAAGATGGTTTGTTTAGTCAAGATTCCAAAATGGTATAACACTTGCCATTTTTCTTTTCCTAAAAAATATTATTGCCTGTTTTTCTGCAAAAAACAACGCGTTATTTAAAAAATTCATACTTTCGTATGTTATTTGTATTTCCTCCAAAATAATTTAGCAACTTTGCTAGATGATATGCTACTCAATATCTACAGAGAATGTGGTTTCAACAAGATGGTTGCCCAGCTCATTATGCTTGTCCTGTACGGGATTGAATACAGAATATCCCCAAAGATGGATTGGGAATTTTTGTTCGATTTCGTCGCCTCCTCATTCTCTGGGCCTGGATTTAAGCCCTTGATTTTTTTATTAGGATTACATAAAAGAAACAGTGTATTAAAAATCGATTGAAAATTTTGCCAAACTGTGCCATAATATTTATACAGCAGCAGAAGAAATAAATGAAAAGAGATTTGCACAACTAGTAAAAAGATCTTTTCTGCAACGATGCAGAGCTTGTATTAATGCCAACAGCAAACAATTTGAGCATTTGCTTTAGTTTTAAGAAAATAATGCAATAAAATTAATAATAAATAGATCAATAATTCCTTTTGTTTAATTTTGTCTTTAGGTTAACATTATTCGAAACAGTGCTTTTGCACGACATATCTTGTTTAACCCTTTCGTCCCGGATGGTACATATGTGTACCACAAATGTATTAGTATTCCGGGACGAAAGGGTTAAACCACATTTTGTAGTTTCTAGATATTGAGTGGCACATTTTCTAACAAAGTTAAGAGGAAATAAAGAGTAAATGCAAGTAGTAATAACGTGTTTTTTGCAAAAAAACAGGCAATAATATTTTTTATGGAAAGAAAAATGGCAAGTGTTATACCATTTTGGAATCTTGACTAAACAGGCCATTTTTTAAAATAACTTGCCAAGGGTGTTGTACAACTTCTTTTTTAGAAATCGCGTGTTAATCTTAATAGACATAAATTCTTTTAACCTTAACACAATTAAACTAATATTTTTTGTTGTAAAACTAACGATATTTGTGACTTCTATAGTAGCATGGATTATAAGGAATACATTATTAAAAAATCACTATTAAAAATCACCATTTAACTAAGAGATATAGAATTTTTTTCTTATTTTTACCAGAACAGGTATGGGTGAGCCTAGTTTATAGTTTTATCAAATAGGTTTAAAAGGCCATTCCAGATTTTGTAGTGTATAGTCCAGTATCCATATACATATTCCAGTTGTCTTCCGCCACACATAATGTTGTACATGTGAGTGTAAAAAAGATGATGTTTGATAAAAATTTATATAAAAACGTTGAATCATCCTAAAATTTAAATATTCTTATAAACTATGACACACAACTTAATAAGAGAAAATTAAAAGTTCAAAGTCCAACATAAGGGTTAAAAAGAAATATAAATTAAATACACAGTGTTGATTGGGGAAGTACCTGTAATCTTATCATTTGAGGTAAATGTCACTATTTTTAGTTTTAGACCGATTACAATCTCATGATAATAAACAATCAATGTTTATTATGTATTAGTAATAAAGAAATAATTAAAAGCGTTTACAGGAACATTTTGGATTGTCTGTTAATTTATTTACGATTTATGAAAGCGTTATTAATAGGATAAATGCAGTTATGTAATGATTAAGCTGGATTACAACGTTAATTAAAAAATTTTTGTGATTTAGTTTTAGCATTAGTTATGTTAACAACGCAGAACTAAGTTCTCCCACAAGTCATGAATAATAATCAGTGATTTCTGTAAAAATAAATAATTATAAATAAAAAATGTGGTGAAATTATATTATTGAGTACCTTTTATTAAGTTAATTATCTACTGTAAATTGGTTTAGTTCTAAATCAAGTACCGGATAGGTTAAGTTGAATGAGAAAAATAAAATCAAGTCGTTAATTAACTAAATTAATTTTATGTAATTACCAAACGAACATATGACCTAATTATAAGTTGGTAGACGAGCTCGATTATTCTTAAGAATTTTTTATAACTTTCTTGGCGTGTTCTTTATGTAACAAGCTTGTTATATCCACACTCTGTTTCACTTCCTCGTCTAGACAAGAATACAAGAAACAGCTTTGAATATTTAGCACATTTTACAAATATTTTTTATCTATTATCTTTATATCATTCTTTAATAATTTAATAACAGTGGTAATAAAAAAAAATAAGTATAAATATCTGTAATGAGGATAGATAATGTTAGATAGATAATTACCTGGAAAAATAATACTCCAATTGTTGCGAGAGCATCTGTTTAAGCTGTGGCAAGGGATAGGCAGGTGGGGCCCCATTATCTGGCGGTGCTGAGGGTGGCCCGGGGCTAGGTCCCTCAGCACCTTCTACTACGCCATTGACGGCGGCATAATCCAATACGGGAAGCATCGGGGCACCGATTTCGGGGGCTGTGGTGTACACTGCCCCCGAAGGCATTTTACCAACATCCCCATTCATGTACACGTAGCCTGCAACAGAAAGACAAGCGAAAAAAGTTAGGTTAAAAATGTTATTGAGTATAAGTAGGACAAAAAACATACTTTGATCTTGGTTGTACATTGTAATAATAAGTGATAAGGGGGTTGTTGGTGAAATTTCACTATGTACGGTATCAAATATGGTGATTGTAGAGGTAAAACTACAACCTAACCTTATTTTTAAAAAAGTGATGGGTGTAATATTTGCATCAAGGTCATTTACACTCTATAATACACAAGTTGGCATTTCAATACAAACAGATAATTGCGGAATTGGTTCTTAAATCGAAAAAAAATCGTCGTTGTCGAAATGAAATGGCACTTTAAGACGCTTAATAGTTTTCTCCCATGAAAGGTTGACATATATTTCAAGTCTGTCTACTATAAAATTGAACCAGTTACGTGATTCGGTCGTCCGAAAATGTGACACAATACGTTTCGGGCGAGAAAATACGGGGCTCCTTCGTTGGTTTTAAACCGAATATATAAATGAATAGTATGAGAGACAAATATAGAAAATGACCGAGGAGGAGTCTGAACGTCGTCTAACATTAGTCCAAACAGCCGACGACATAACTTCCAACAGGTATGTTTAATTATAAGTCAAAACAATTTCTCTCAACTCCTTTTATTCAGTATGAAAAGGTAAATAATAAATTTTGGTTTTATATTCACCCGGAAACCATGTGCCCGTCTACTATCGTCCTATCGTCGTCGGCTTCCATACAGGCAGGCGACTTCTATGTCTTTAACGGGTGGCATAATAAACCCGAATTGTTAACCGATACAGATGTTTACGTTGACGCGTTTCCGTAAAATTACGTAACGTTACGATTATAAGCTGAATAACAATCTTACGGAAATGGACATTATTCCAATAACTAAATATTCGCTTACCGTTTAGATTACTTTGCAAAACTGAACACAATTTCACACGGAACTTGCAAAATGGCCGTCGCAGGGCACATGCCACAGAAAACTAGTAATCTGGGAGTTAGACAGAGATCGAACGATACGTACACGTACTGCTCTCTTTTGTAAATCAATGGACTTAATTATTGAAAGAGGGATTTTTGAATTTTCGTAACGATTTTTTCCGTTTAAACACTAAACGTTCATTGTTTACTAAATTTTATTACTTTTATCAACTCTACTTGTCGGTAACGACTCACTTATTAAAGCGCAAGATCGATTATTTTTACGATATATTTTTATACACACAAAAATTGGAGGTTATTAGTAACGTAGTGCTCTCTCATGTAAATCAATGGAATTAATATATAAAAAGAGGGATTTTTGAATTTTTGTAACGTATTTCTTTTTAAAATCAAATTTGTTTAAAAATATGTTTGTTAATGTTTAAGTTAATTTTGTTATTACATAAAATAAAGCGTTACTAAGTCAATTTCGTGTTATAAAATAATTTGGTAATAAAAAATAATTTTGAGGTTATATTTACAAAATACCGTTAAATAAATATTAAATTAATTTTTTTATGTACCTACTTTTCCTGTTAAACATTTTCTGTTTTTATTTTAAACAGAACCCAACCCAAAACGATTAAAAATTGATGAACCTTACCTTAAAGAAATATGCAATATCAATAAATTTATGTAACTTTAAGATTAATAATACAGTTTCCTATCTTTGTACATAGAATCTTTTTAGAATTAATTTCTAACTGCATCATAATTGTAATTTTATTATAAATTGTATGTAATTGATTGGAAAATCTAATTTTCCGACTTATCTGTAATATTTATATAGCAGGAGCAAAAATACAGGTGTTCCAAAATTCCATGCATGTATCTATAGGTGTCCCGAAACTCAACTTTACCTGTTCTGGTAAAAATAAGAAAAAAATCCATGTCTCATAGTTGAGTGGTAATAGACATATTTTTGAAAATGTTAAATCGTTCCCGTACATCATATTTTTAGGTACTATATATAGAAATCACAAATCAAATAACAAAAGTCATTAGTTTAAAAAAAAAAATATTAGTTTGATCGAGTTAAGATTAAAAGAATTTATGTCTATTAAGTTTGACACACGATTTCTAAAAAAAAACAGTAGTACAGCACTCTTGGCAAGTAATTTCAAAGATGGCTTGTTTAGTCAAGTTTCCAAAGTGGTACAACCCTTGCCATTTCTCTTTTTATAAAAAATATTGCCTGTTTTTCTGTAAAAAACACGTTATTTAAAAAATTCATACTTTCATATGCTTAACTTTGTTAGAAGATGTGCCATTCAATATCTACGAACTACAAAATGTCCTTTCAACAAGATGGTTGCCCTTATGTCTTGCAAAAGGACTGTTTCGAATAAGGTTAACCTAAAGACAAAATTAAACAAAAGGAGGTATTAATTTATTTATTATTAATTTTATTGCATTATTTTCTTCAAACTAAACCAAATGCTCAAATTGTTTGCCGTCGGTACTAATACAAGCANCATCATTTTCACTCTAGTATATGTGGTTAAATTTGTTCCCCGAGTCACCGAAACACCCTGTATATAGAAATCACAAATCAAACAACAAAAGTCGTTAGTTTTTCAAAAAAAAAAATATTAGTTTGATCGAGTTAAGATTAAAAGAATTTATGTCTATTAAGTTTGACACACGATTTCTAAAAAAACAGTAGTACAGCACTCTTGGCAAGTAATTTCAAAGATGGCTTGTTTAGTCAAGTTTCCAAAGTGGTACAACCCTTGCCATTTCTCTTTTTATAAAAAATATTATTGCCTGTTTTTCTGTAAAAAACACGTTATTTAAAAAATTCATACTTTCATATGCTTAACTTCGTTAGAAGATGTGTCATTCAATATCTACGAACTACAAAATGTCCTTTCAACAAGATGGTTGCCCTTATGTCTTGCAAAAGGACTGTTTCGAATAAGGTTAACCTAAAGACAAAATTAAACAAAAGGAGGTATTAATTTATTTATTATTAATTTTATTGCATTATTTTCTTCAAACTAAACCAAATGCTCAAATTGTTTGCCGTCGGTACTAATACAAGCTCTGAATTGTTGCAGAAAAGTTCTAGTTGTGCAAATCTCTTTGCATTCTTTTTTCCTGCTGCTGTATAAATATTGTGGCGCAGTTCGGGAAGATTTTCAATCGGTTTTTAATACACTGTTTCTTTTTTGCAATCCTAATGAAGAAATCAAGGGAATTTAGACCCAGAGAATGAGGAGGCCACGTAATCGAACCAAGACACTCAATCCATCTTTCGGGATTCCATCTTCCCGAATCTTGTTGAAACCACATTTCTCTGTAGATATTGAGTGGCACATCTTCTAACAAAATTGTTAAATTATTTTGGAGAAAATGCAAGTAACATACAAAAGTATAAATTTTTTAAATAATGCGTTTTTTTGCAGAAAAACAGGCAATACTATTTTTAAGGACAACAAAAATAGCAAGTGTTATACCATTTTGGAATCTTGACTAAACAAGCCATCTTTTAAAATAACTTACCAAGGTTGTTGTTGTACTACTACTTTTTTTAGAAATCGTGTGTCAAACTTAATGGACATAAATTCTTTCAACCATAAGTCAAACTAATATTTTTTTTGCAAAACAAACGACTTTTGTAGTTTGATTTGTGACTTCTACAGTAGTGGCCCTAGTACCTAAAGATATAATGTATGGGAACGATTTTTAACATTTTCAAAAATATGTCTATTACCACTTATCTAAGTCATGGAAGTTTTTTCTTACTTTTACCAGAACAGGTATTTGTTGGCCTCTCACCCGGTGCTCGCTTGACGTTGAGTTTCGAGACCCTGTATATAGGGTGAATCAGAAAGAATGGGAAATCCGAATACCGGAGATACGAGACACCAAAATATGACGATTTAATCCAACATCTCTTATACAGAAGTCGGTGGTTTTCAAAGTACAGCTTTTTATACTATACTCTATTTTTTAATTCGGAGGAGTGTTTTCAAATTGAAGCGCCAAAAAGAATGGTTGCTATTGGTCTATTGGTTTTACGCAAAAATTACACTAAGAAAATTCGAGATGTTGCCGGCCGCCTAGAAACAGTAGAAACAATTGGGTTTAGCCCTTGTCTCTCAGTATGGCTAAACCCGAATAATTCTAGTTCTAGGTCTTGTGTTAGTTCTAGTGATAGTACTAGTGTAAAACTAGAACTAATACTAGACCTAGAAGTAGATATTTTCTGGTTTAGCCGTGCGTCTCTCAAGACGTTAGAAGAGTGAGTGGTAACGTAGTGCTCTCTCATGTAAATCAATGGAATTAATATATAAAAAGAGGGACTTTTGAATTTTTGTAACGTATTTCTTTTTAAAATCAAATTTGTTTAAAAATATGTTTGTTAATGTTTAAATTAATTTTGTTATTACATAAAATAAAGCGTTACTAAGTCAATTCTGTCTTATAAAATAAATTGGTAAGAAAAATAATTTCGAGGTTATATTTACAAAATACCGTTAAATACATAAATACCTATTAAATTCTTTTATATGCCTACTTTTCCTGTTAAACATTTTCTGTTTCTATTTTAAACAGAACCCAACCCAAAACGATTAACAATTTGATGAACCTTACCTTAAAGAAATATGCAATATTAATAAATTTATGTAACTTTAAGATTAATAATACAGTTTCCTATCTTTATACGTAGAATCTTTTTAGATTTAATTTCTAACTCCAACATAATTGTTTATAATTGTTGAAAAACTATGTAAATATGGAATGATTGGGATAAAATATAATTTTAAATATAGCGTATATTCGAATTTACACTCATTAAATTGCATTGTATATTAAAGTAGTAAAATGTAATTTTGTTACAAATTTATAAATTGTATGTAATTAATTGGAAAATCTAATTTTCCGACCTATCTGTAATATTTGTGCAGTTAGGAGCAAAAATACAGGTGTTCCCAAATTCCTTGCATATACAGTGTGTTCGTAAAGAAGCGGATATAGGCGATAAAATCATTATTAACTAGTCTTTCT